TCTCCCACCATGCCCAAGCAGTGGTCAGTCCCCCAACCCACATAGCTGGGTCACTCAAAGAAAATGCAATGCCTGCACCCAGTGTGCTGCTTCCTCTCCCTAGGCAAGCTGCAGCAATTTGAGGGTGGCCGTTGGCAGACAGTGGCCCCCTCAGAGCAGCAAAAGCTGAGCAAGTTGGACGGGCAAGTGTGGATTGCCCTATACAACCTACTGCTAAGCCCTCAGGCCCGGGCCCGCTACTGCCTCACAAGCTTTGCCAAGGGACAGCTGCTCAAGGTGGGGAGCTACCCCCACACCAGTCCCTACAGCCCCAGCGCTGCTGTACCCCATCCTACCCCCACTGCATCCCTGCTATTTATCTTTGATCACCCACCTCAACCTCAGTCCTCGGGTCTCAGGTAATGCAGCAGCGAGTGGGACATGGGCCCCCCAGACACCCTCAGTCCAGCCCAGGCTCTCCCTTTTCCTTGGCCCTCTGGCCAGCACCTGATTCAAACTGACGCCCACTGGACATCCTTGCAGCTTCGGGCCTTCCTCACAGACACATTACTCGACCAGCTGCCCAATCTGGCAGACCTGCAGGGTTTCTTGGCCCACCTGGCCCTAGCTGAAACCCAGCCCCCTAAGAAGGACCTGGTGTTGGAACAGGTAGGCACTGGAAGCTTAGTTGCTCAGGACCACTGTCCACTTTGCCAGCTCCTTCCTGCCACTCTCCACTTCTCTCCCCTAGATCCCAGAAATCTGGGAGCGGCTGGAGCAAGAGAACAGAGGCAAGTGGCAGGCTATTGCCAAGCATCAGCTTCGGCATGTGTTCAGCCCCTCAGAGCAGGACCTGCGGCTGCAGGCACGAAGGTAAGACCTGCTGAACTGCCAGAAGGGGTGGATGGGATGCAGGAGGTATGGAGGTGGGCAGGGTGCCCCCACCTGCCAGGCTCATTCAGGCCCTCCTGACCCTCCTCCAGGTGGGCTGAGACCTACAGGCTGGATGTGCTAGAGGCAGTGGCTCCAGAGCGGCCCCGCTGTGCCCACTGTAGTGCAGAGGCCTCCAAGCGCTGCTCTCGATGCCAGAATGAGTGGTATTGCTGCAGGTGAGCGTACCCTAGGACCTTGCACCCCTAAGCCCCACTCCCAGATTCCCCCACATACACTGCTATCCTCACAAGCCCCCCTGCCTGCAGAGATTGCCAAGTTAAGCACTGGGAGAAGCATGGAAAGACTTGTGTCCTGGCAGCCCAGGGAGACAGAGTGAAATGAGAGCTGCAGTTGCTGAGAACCTACCACCCCTGCAAGGGAACCCACCCAGAATGCACCCCTGAACCCCAGGATTTCAGTCCAGGCTCTGCCAGTGCCTCAGACTCCCCTGGTGGTGAGCAAAGCGGGAGGGTAGAGCTGCTGACCCATCCCCCCCTCCCCTCCCCTCCCCAAGCGAAGGCTTTCGACTTCCTGCCCCACCCAGTGGGTAGGCGGAGGATGCTGCCACAGCAAACAGGCGCAGAAGGGCAAGGGCCGGATGCGGGGACCCTCTTCCTCTAGCACAGTAAAGCTGGCCTTCAGAAACACGCACGTCTCTATATGGCGCTTTGCGGTCACTGGTCACCGTCGCCTCTGTCGTCGGGGATCGGGGAGGGCATGAAGGAGGTGGGGAAAAGCAGGGCAGGGGCTCTGCCACAATGCCCCCAACCCCTGCCCGGCTCTGCCTTCGAGCCCACACAGTCCTCGCACCCAGGTTTCCATTGCGTCGCTCTCAGCTCCTTCCCGCCGGCCCTGCCTGGACCCTGGGGGCGGCGCTGAAGTCGGGCCCGCCCTGCAGCCCCGCCCGCCTCGCGCTTGCTAGTGCCCAGAGCCAGCCGAAGCCCCGGCCCAACAGGGCCATGTCGGCGGAGCCTGAGCTCATTGAGCTGCGGGAGCTAGCACCCACTGGGCGCGCCAGCCCGGGCCGCACCCGGCTGGAGCGTGCCAACGCGCTGCGCATCGCGCCGGGCACCGCGCGCAATCCCGCACGGCAGCTGGTCCCCGGTCGCGGCCACCGCTTCCAGCCCGCGGGGCCTGCCACGCACACGTGGTGCGACCTGTGCGGCGACTTCATCTGGGGCGTCGTGCGCAAGGGCCTGCAGTGCGCGCGTGAGTAGCAGCCCCGCGCCGCGAGAGTGGAACAGGCGGCCAAGGGGCAGCGCTGTTTCTGCGGGTCAAGTCGTGGCGGGGGGGGGTTGGCTGAGAGAGTTCCTGAGAACTAGGTGCGTTACTTTTGCCCCATCTCGGAAGAGTGCAGGAAGATGCTTTATCCTTTGCCGTGCTCTATCCGAGGCTGGGGCGCAGCTGGGCAGAGGTGGTTGCCTGTGTTTTAACAGGGTGCTGATTTCAAGCTTCTTTAAAGTGCCTTGGCCCTTCTTGAGAAAGGCTTTGTGCCTACTGTCCTTTGTGCCCATATACCCAAGCCTGCCTCTTCCCAAAGACTCATTCCACTGTATCCCCCCCTCCAGAATCCCTGGGGTGAAGGGAAGTTACCCACCTATGGCAGGGGGCCTGGAAAAAGTTAGAACTTTGGGTGACCCTCTGCAAGCAGAAATTTTGTTGAGTCTTTATTTAGCAAACACCTATTTCGGGCCCAGTAAACCAGGTGCTAAAACATGGAACACAGCCATGTGGTCCTTCTGCCCACCCTGGGAATCACCAGCAAGCAGAGATTGCTCTTCCACTGGCTATACACCAGCCAGAATCGCCTGGGGCGCTTCTACAACCCTCCAACCCCCTTATGCCTAGATCCTACCTCAGACCTGTTGAATCAATTGCTGGGAGTGGACCCTAGGCACCAGTAATGTTTTTAAAACTCCCCAAATTATTCTAATGTGCAGTCTGGGTTGAGAATCACTGCTCTGGCCCATTTAGGAACTTAGAGAAGGTATATCCCAGGCCTGTGTATGAATGGAGATCCTCTCCACAGGAGTAAGTCACAGGAGTAAATTCAGCTGAGGGGAGAATAGGAGTTGTGACAGAACATGAAGAATGAGCAAGGGCTAAGATATTGCAGTGTTCCCAAGGAGAAATAAAGTAGCCATGGAGATGAGGAACAGGACAACCTGGGTGTGTATCAGAGATAGAGACAGGAGGAATGAAGGATGAGTTTGGGTTTTTGTCTCAAACATCTAGGGGAATAATGGCAATTTTTGCAGCAATAAGGAACTTTGGCAAGGATAGGAGTAAGGTGGAAAAGTGAGTTAAATTTTGGCCTTGTTCGCTTGAAATGTCTTAGACATTCAAGTGAAGTTACTGGCACATAGGATTTGATCTGGGAAGTCGGTGCTTGAGCCATGCATCTGGTGCAGGTGAGCATGGACAGAGCAGGGCAGTGATCAGGACTGAGCCCCAGGCATCACCATTAGATCTGGAAGTTGAGGCAAAACCAGCAAAGGAGCTGAGCAGGAACTGCAGGGGCGTGGGAGGAAAACTAAGAGATCATGTCCCCTGAGAGCCAAGGGGAGTAAGTATCAAACGATGCTGAGGAGGTGAGAGTGAAGAATGGAACACTAGATACCATTCAACAGTACACAAGATTTCCGAGGACCCTTACCAGGGCAGTTTCCTGGAGGGAGGGACAAGCCTGTCTGCAGTGGGTAGAGGAGAGAGTGAAGGCAAAGAAGAGTGTATATAGACTAGTGTTTTGTTCCGAGGGGAGCAGAGAGAGATGCCAATTAGAGGGGGACATGGATTAAGAGTTTTTGGTTTCTCCTTCAAGTAAAATGAGTTCAGGGAGAAGTTGACAATATGGAAGGAGGAAGCTCTGCGCGAGGCGCTAAAGATCCAACTGCTGGCCAGGCCCGGTGGCTCAGGTCTGTAATCTTAGCACTTTGGGAGGCCAAGGCAGGAGGATCGCTTGAGCACAGGAGTTTGAGGTTGCAGTGAGCCATGATGACGCCACTGTACTCTATCCCTGTCAATAGAGTGAGACCCTGTTTTAAAAAAAAAAAAAAACCAACTGTTGAGCAGGCCTACATCCCTAATTGCCTGAGGCCTTCCAGCCAGTTTCCAGACGCCCAGGGACCAACACTAGAGCCATAACTCGGCCAGAGATAGGCCGATCATGCAGAGCCAGGCGGGCAACGGCCCTCAATCCCGCGCTTCCCTTCAATCCCCGGGACGCTTCCCCGAGCTGGGGCCCCTCCGCCTCACGACCCGGCCTCTCTACAGACTGCAAGTTCACCTGCCACTACCGTTGCCGTGCGCTCGTCTGCCTGGACTGCTGCGGGCCCCGGGACCTGGGCTGGGAACCCGCCCTGGAGCGGGACACGAACGTGGTGAGCAAGAGGGCGGGGGCTGACGGGCGGGGCGAGGACGGGCAACGAGCGTTTTAGGAGCTGATTTCCCGGCAGCAGAGAGTAGCTAATTCTGCGCGTGGGCTCGCAAAGGTACCCGGTGACCTGGCAGCGCGAAGACCCCACAGTCCCCAAGGGTACCCCTGCGGGAGTTTGCCTCGGCTGCGCGCACGCGCACTTTCCGAACCATCCTACTTCCGGTCCTACGGCTATGTTGACGCACTTGCGCATGCGCTCCGACACATTCCGGATGGGAGGTGGGGCCTGCCTGTCGGAGCTAAGTCTAGCTGCCTGGGCGATGAAGTCATTCCTGGATGAGAAGCGGGTGTGTCCCCGCCCCTCGACGTTCCTCCTCCAATGAGACAAGAGCTAGATCCTGGCTGTCTTCGTTTCAGTCCTAACGGTTGCGGCGCGGCGCAGGCTCCAGCGCACGCGCATACTGACACACGCGTACACACGCGCGCGCGCCCGGGGCGGTGGTTGGAGGTTACCGACGCACCGGACGGGGGCACCGGGCGGGCGCTGCGATGGGTGAGGCGGAGACGCCTTCTTTCGAGATGACCTGGAGCAGCACAACAAGCAGTGGCTACTGTAGCCAAGAGGACTCGGACTCGGAGCTCGAGCAGTACTTCACGGCGCGTACCTCGCTGGCGCGCAGGCCGCGCCGGGACCAGGTGGGAGCCAGGGGTTGCCGGAGGTGGGCAGGGGGCGATCGCAGGACCCCGCCCCTCCCCGGCAAGTTGCGGTGTCGAGAGTAGGTGAACACCACCACCCTGCGGTCAACGTGGCTCCCTGCCGGTCCCGGCAGGGGGCTGGACTGCGGAAGCGTGTGTAAAACCCCTATTCCAGCGCCTCGGTACTGAATCCCGAAATCTCCTTGCTCTCCCTGTTACAGACCGACCGGTTGAACCAGGGGAAGCAGCTTTGTACCTTGTGGTAGACTTGAGACAGGAATTATCCTCCTATGACTAAAGCCAAGTGAGCAGTCTGGACTAGCACCTCGATTTCCGCGTTGGGACGCTCCCACTCCCTCCCTCGGAAAACTCGAGGAGGAAGTGGAGGGGAAGTAGTTCTTGCCAGGAATTGCAAGTATGTTTAGGACAGAGAGGCTATATGCACTGTATATGCACTCTTGGATGGATCCAGCTAAGTCCCCACCTCTTGCCAGTCGTGGCCTTGTCGCTAGCTGCTGGGATGTGGAGGATTTTAATCCCTCTAGGGTGGACCTGGAGAAAGGGGATTTGAAAATGGATAGGAAGGAAGCTTTGTTTGGGGTCGTAAGCATTCAGGAGCACTTTACCCACAGGACAGGAGGGGAAGGCTAGATTGTAAAATGTAAAATGCACTGCGAAGGGTGGAAAGAAATCGGGGTTACTAATCCAGTACTATAAAGTGTGGTGCCAGGTCATCAGGAAAGAGGGATAGGAACTGTGAAGATCAGAATACCTGGCAGCAAGGGGGCAGAATTCCTTATTTGAGCCAAGAAAATGGAGTTGGGGATGATGCTTTACATGAAATTTTACAAAATTTTTTACAAAAGGGGTGGCACTTAGCACCCCATTATCTCAACCCAAAGCGTGGGTGCAAGGTTAGAGTGTGGACCCCTGGGATTATCTCCCTACGACTCAGGCCTGAGCCATTGTTTTTCCATTGTAGAAAGGTGAGGAAACCACAAGATAACTAACCAATTGAAAAGGAGGCTGAGAAGTCCCAAGTCGTATATAAAATTAAACCACTGGCAGTGATAGAGTGGAGCGTGGGTCCCTATGGTGCAGGAGAAGGGAAATTCCATGGTCTTGCTGTGCATCCTTCTGGGACAGCTGTTGGAATCCTCTTCTTGTAGGCAGCTTTGGAAACAGAAAAAGTAACTCCTTCCTCCTCTAGAATCCTGACAGGATAGCTCAGCGCCTCCAGTCCAAGTCCCTTGGTTTATGAGTGAAGATGCTAAGGGAGGTTCACCCAGAGAAAGGAAGGGGCTAGAACTAAGGTCACTGCATCTGAGTCCAGGGCTCCTGGATAATCCAGGAAGGGAAGAGGAACAAGTTTTCTCATTCCCAGGTAGGAGCTGAAAGCCAACCCGAGGAATAAGTTAGCGCCATCTGTATGCCCTCCTGTTCTATAAACAGAATGCTCTTCTTTCTTGATCTGGCACTAGACTCTGCCAAGCATTCTTCCTGTCCCTAGCACCCCTCCCATCTGGGTACTTCCTCCCATTGGGGCACTCCTTCCTGTCCCAAACCCTTTCCTTGAGCCTAAACAAACAACATCTGCCCTTTATTCCCAGCCTCCAGCCCTCATTTTGCTCCCAGGTCCCTCATTTTCCAGGGCCCACACCATTTGTTCTTACTGGCCTAAACAGCATTGTCCCCAACAAGGTTTTACTCCTCAGTGCTCTTCTCCATCCAGGAGACCTTTGAAAACTTGGAGAAGCAAATGAACTTTAGTTCCCACCCTCCCCCCAGTACCTTTTTCCTATAAGGCTCTGGCCTCAGTTCTCAGCCCCATGTACTTGCTGGCTGCTGAATAGCAGCAATTCTGGGTGAGGAGAATACTGCTGAAAGCCTGTGGGCTCCACCCTGCTCTCTCATCTGTCTTCCCCATTCATCCCCATCAGATGGTTTAAGCAGCTTAGAGGGCTCCAAAGCAGCAGTGGGGGAGAACTCTGGCTGTCCTGGGCTCAGAGCTGAGCACAGGATCATTCTACAGGAAACCTTCTTGTGGGAATTCCCCCTGGACAAGGCATTGGTTAGTGGTGATCTCAGCTGTGTCTGAGACACCCCCATTCCAACTAGGGCCTATCTGATGTCAACAGGAAGTAAGGTTGATACAGTGGGGCCAAGGGAGTTTGGGAGAAGAAAGTTCAAGAGCCTGGCTGTCCTGGCCCACACTCCACACTTCTGGCAGGAATCCAGTCCCTGAAGGAGGTGGGGACTGAGTCATAGAGGTAAAATCTTTGGGTTTACTCTCTAGACAGTAGGGGGAGGCGCAGAAGCCCACCTGCTTGGCACTCGTGAGACAAGCTCTAACAGGAAGCTGTCTGTGCACCTTTGGCAAATTGGAGCCTGGCCTGACTCTGCCCTTTGTGCAGCTTGGGTCAAGGTTAAACGTCATGTTACAGTGATCCTGAAACACGGAAGGCTGGCCCCAAGGACTCCACCAAAGGGTGTTGACATTGTAGAGGTTACCCTTCCACTCTTGCCCATTGGTAGCTGAACTACTGATGTGTACCAGTCCCTACGCCTCCCACCTTGTAGTGGGTCATGGCCCTGTGCTGACACACAGTGGAAAAATAGGCTGTCTTCTCTAGGACAAACCCTAATACCAGCCCAACTAGGGTCCGGGGATCAGGCTGTGTGGTCGAAATACGGTTTTACTTTAAACAAGAGTCTCTCCTCAGAGTCCGTCATCTTTTCCTGGCCTGTGGCCATTTGCCTTCAGTTGCCCCTGGTCTGCAGTATCCTTAGGGCTACATCCAGTGCTGAGGTGGCCCTAGACAGGCAGCAGAGAAAAGCCAAATGATTCTGACTTTGCCATCTCTATCCATAGTGTGCAGAATCAGGAGCAGTGACTGGTTCAGGGCATGCACCTGCTGGGCAGCTATATACATCAGTCACAGGGGGCCAAAGACAGTTGGTTTCCAAAAGCTGCCCTGGAGGCCATTTTTCAGAGAAGCCTGGGGTTCCTTAAGGGCCCTGTGTCCATGATGGCCCATCTTTCAGGACGAGCCTGTGGAGTGGGAGACACCTGACCTTTCCCAGGCTGAGACTGAGCAGAAGATCAAGGAGTACAATGGCCAGATCAACAGCAACCTCTTCATGAGCCTGGTGAGTTGACTGCTCAGGAAGGGGCTGTGGGGGAGAAGCAGGATCCCAGGTCTGTGCCTGATGCTCAGAGGGTCACAGGTAAGGTATTCTTGGGTGGCCCCAAGCAGCAATTTATGCATACCCAACCAGCTCCAAGTGCACCAGTGGTAACCTAGTCTGTTTCATCTCGCCTGGAACCTACTCTCATGGTTTGGTTTCTCTTTCTCTTTAGAACAAAGATGGCTCCTACACAGGCTTCATCAAGGTTCAGCTGAAGCTGGTACGGCCTGTCTCGGTGCCCTCCAGCAAGAAGCCACCCTCCTTGCAGGATGCCCGGCGGGGCCCAGGGCGGGGCACAACTGCAAGGCGCCGCACCTCCTTCTACCTGCCCAAGGATGCTGTCAAGCACCTGCATGTGCTGTCACGAACACGGGCACGTGAGGTCATCGAGGCCCTGCTGCGCAAGTTCTTGGTGGTAGATGACCCCCGCAAGTTTGCACTCTTTGAGCGGGCTGAGCGTCATGGCCAAGGTTGGCTTCCCACCCCACCCCTGTGTGAGGGTATATATGTATGCCTCTGTGCATGCAGAGGCTGATGAGGTGGCTGGGCCTGTCTCTAATCATACATCCCCCCATCCGGCCCTTAGTGTACTTACGGAAACTGTCAGATGACGAGCAGCCCCTGCGCCTGCGGCTCCTTGCAGGGCCCAGTGAGAAGGCCCTGAGCTTCGTCCTGAAGGAAAATGACTCTGGGGAGGTGAACGTGAGTACACAGTCCTCCTTAGTTTCTCAATTGTCACTGGACAGGGCTGATGGACTGTAGCTACAGTGAGGCTTGGAGAAGGAACTGGGCTGGAGGATTAGCCCTGCAAAGCTCCACCCACAGTGTATAGGCTTTGTAACTAAAGTGAAGGCTTCCAGGCCAAAGCCTGGGCCCTGTCCCCAGAACCAGGAAGTCTTGGTGCTTTGCTCTTTTCTGATATGGAAAAATCCTCTGGAGATTCGGGAGTGTATCTGATGGCCTGGTGACCCCAGACCAGATCAAAGCCATAGGTGGGCCCATGACAGCATGGAGGCCCTCCTTTAGGCATTAAGATTTTTTACCTGGAAGCTTTCTGGCTCCAACATATTAGGCTTGTGCAATTGGATTAGACGCAGAATGTGGGCATAGCCTGTCCACAGGAGTTGGGGAACATCTAATTTGGTTGTCTCTCAGTGAGGTGACTATTTTGTAGGGCCTATCTTCTATACAGGCTACTGTCGGATCCTAGCACAAACTACTCAAGCAAGAGCCTGATAGCAGAAAGTCCAGTGGAAGCATGTGTGACTATGACGTGCTGGTCTTCTCTGGTCTGAGGGAGGGTCTGTTGGCTTGGCCATCCCTGATGCATCATGTGTATTCATTCCCCCATGCCCCCTTTGCAGTGGGACGCCTTCAGCATGCCTGAATTACACAACTTCCTGCGTATCCTGCAGCGGGAGGAGGAGGAGCACCTCCGCCAGATCCTGCAAAAGTACTCCTATTGCCGCCAGAAGATCCAGGAGGCTCTGCATGCATGTCCCCTGGGGTGACCTCTTGTACCCCTAGGGGGAAGGAGGAGAGTAGGCATTGCCAAAAGCGTGCCGTGTGAGTGTGACAGGGCCCGTGGGGCCTGAGGAATGAGTGTGCGTGGAGGTCCTCCTCTGCTGGGGAACAAACCCAGAGAACAGTGAAGGAGCTGGGCCCGTGTGTCCACCAGTGGGTGTAGCAGAACATGGCTCTGCCCCCCTCTGCCCCTCATGTACTGGGTCATGGTGGGCTGGGGCTTCCCTGGGAAGCTGCTGCAGGCTTGCAGCAGGGGTGGAGCAGACAGAAGTCTCCTTAATTTATGTTCTCAGATATGAGAATCTTGGAGACCCTACAAACAGAAGTGTAGTGTTTGCGGAGTGAGGGCCCACATCTATGGGGAAAGAAAGGTATGTTTTGGGTCTGGGGTGGGGTTTCAGGGTAACCTTGTCACAGCCAAGGGTGGGTGCTCAGAATAAGGCAGGCATCAAGGAAGAGTCTTGGTTTCCCTTTACAGTGCCCTCTGACTCCTCATGCTCCCTGAGGTCAGTGAGTGCTGGCTTACAGTGCAGCAACAGTGCCTCAATGCCTCCTGCAAGGAGGATGTCCCTGGGCCAGGGTCTGTGTGAGTGTGGGTACTGGTCCAGGTCAGTCAAAGCCAGGGTCCCTCCCTTGGATATTTTTCATGACGTGTGCGAATGTACGTAATGTTTTGTGGCCTTAGCCGAATGCCTCCTGTGGGGAAAAGGGTAGGGGTGCAGTCATCATCAGGGCCTGGGGCCTGAGAAAATTGGCTGAATAAAGATTTAATAATCCTCCTGCTTCTGGACTCTTTTTATTATGGGCCCACAGCTGCAGTTGCCCCTCATGCCAGTGGCTGCCAAGGGTGATGAACAGGCTCACGGGATTCTTTGCAAAGTCACCATGGGACAAATTTGTGAAGATGTAGTATGCGTTATGTACTCAGTCATCACTCAGGTTGTGGTGGGGGCAAGAAGAGCCTGCAGCTAGAGCTTAGGGAAACCATTCCCTCAACACACACACCAAGTTCTGGGAGGAGCCATGGCAGGACCCCTTTGCCAAATACTTAATGAGCTGCTACTGTGGACCAGACACTGCTCATGGCACTGAGGGCATAGCTGTTAACATTTATTGCTTTTATGAAACAGGCATTCTGGTGGGTTTGGAAGGAGCACAGAATTTGAAGTTCTTAAGTCCTGGGTGTCGCTATATGACATTTGGCCAGTTCCTTAATTTTCTTGAAGCTTGGTTTCTTTTTTTTTTTTTTTGATACAGAGTCTCACTGTCTTGCCCGGGCTAGAGTGTCGTAGCTCATCGTAGCTCACAGCAACCTCAAACTCCTGGGCTCAAGTGATCCTCCTGCCTCAGCCTCCCGAGTAGCTGGGACTACAGGCACATGCCACCATGCCCGGCTAATTTCTTTCTATATACTTTTAGCTGTCCGATTAATTTCTTTCTATTTTTGGTAGAGACGGGGTCTCTCTCTTGCTCAGCCAGGTCTCGAACTCCTGAGCTCAAACGATCCGCTCGCCTCGGCCTCCCAGAGTGCTAGGATTACAGGCGCAAGCCACCGCGCCCGGCTGAAACTTGGTTTCTTAACATGAGACAGTGGCAATCGCAAAAACACGGTTGTGAAAAGAAGGCAGCCTGGCCTGGGTCAGGCCTTGAAATGCTGGTTTGGAGACTGGTGGTTGAGCAGGCCCACTAGGCCTTAGCTCTGGGGGTTCAGAACGTCCAAGCCGCCATATACACGGAAGAGACCAGGAGGACACAAGGCCACCGCTTTCTAGGGTGGGAGCTGTCCCAGCATGGGAGAGCGTGGCCTGCTGGTACTTGGGGGGGGGGGGGGGGGGTCTCGCAATGCATGCTGGGATACCCAGCGTCGGGTGGCCATTGGCCCCGATTCAAGGATTGACGAGAGCATCAGCCAATCAGAGGGGATAGCGTGCGGAAGCGGAAGTGAGGTTTCCGTGGAGACAGCCGAGCCTGCGGAAGGCGGCGGCGGCTGCACCTGCGAGCGGAGGCTGGGGTAGGGGATGGTGGTGCCCACTGTGCTGTGAGAGCCCAGAGGCAGCGGGGCCCGCCATGCGCCGGCGGCCGTGACATGGGTGCCAGCGGCTCCAAAGCTCGGGGCCTGTGGCCCTTCGCCTCGGCGGCGGGGGGCGGCAGCCCAGAGGCGGCGGGCGCTGAGCAAGCTTTGGTGCGGCCTCGAGGCCGAGCCGTGCCCCCCTTCGTATTCACGCGCCGCGGGTAAGGGCGTGGGTTCCGCCCCGGGGAAGACTAGCGGGTGGTCAGGCGCCCCGTGCCACGGGGAACTTTTACCGCTGCACCCCCTTACTCCCGAGCCAGCACAACTCCTGTATTTTGGGTCCCCATTGGAGCAAGAGGTAGGGAAAGCCGGGCAGTCGACTTCTGGCTTTCTGGCCACTCTGAAGGTCTCCCTAGGGAACAGTGGGCCTGAGGCTTGTCCCTGAGCAAGGCTTCTGCACGGTAAAGCTAAGATAGGGCCTCCATGACACCTCAGGATCTCTTCCTTTCATCTCTTCTGGCTCAGCCTGCAAATTGAAGGCTCCTAGCCTCTCCTTCTCCCAGTTCTTCCAAGGGGTTAATGACCCTCTGTTTAGGCCGCTTCCCTTCCCGACAGTGGTGGAGTTGGACCTCTGAGGGTAGTGGCTGGGAAAGCAGGGCTGAGTCCCAGCGTTGGGGGTGAGGGTGAGAAAAAGACCCTCATCTAGTTAGTTATATTCTCCAGATCTGGAACGCTGACCTACACCCCTTTTTCCCTCAGGGGCCTAGACAAGAGTACCAGATTAACCTGGCCCTAGTGGGCTTCTGGGGACGGCATTCTTCATGCTGGAGATTTGGCTGTAGATACCAGGAAGACCCAACAGTGGCAATTTGCACCAGCCACTTGGGGGGAATACATCTTGCCTCCCTTTAGGCTCTTTCCCAGCAGAGGCATCTGCTATTTCAGTCTTTGGAACTGGGGCCAGCAGTGTCTTATGGAGTAAGACCAACATACAGCCACCACCCTGTCCACTCTAGAAGTCCTGGGTGAAGGCAAGAGCCTGATATTGAAATGGCTGCTCATGCTGAACAAACCAGTGATGAGAACTGGCCTTGGTTGCCTGGGTAGTGTGCTCTGGTGTGGCCCCTCTCCTTAGGCATCTGACATAGTAGCATTTGCCATTACCCCACTCCCCACTTTCTTTTAGTAGACCTCAAACCCCAGGCAAAGGATTCTCCAGACATATCCTCTCTTCTTCCCACCAAGATTGTTTCTCCCCACTTGGGGTTGGGCACACTTCCCTGTGATCTGTGGCATTTGCCATGACCAGTATGGGGCTCCAGCCCAGCCTGTTCCCTTCTCCCTCTACACAGCTCCATGTTCTATGACGAGGATGGGGATCTGGCTCACGAGTTCTATGAGGAGACAATCATCACCAAGAACGGGCAGAAGCGGGCCAAGCTGAGGCGGGTGCATAAGAATCTGATTCCTCAGGTGAGGGGCTGGGCAGTGGTCACAGAGCCTATATCAAGTATGTGGAGGTAGACCCAGGTGGGATCTGTTGTCATGGTGGGGGATCTTGCGGGAGGAGCTGGGAGGAACAGGAAGGCTTCCTGGAGTAGAGGCCCTGAGCTGATCTTCACTAGCCTCTGTTTCCATGGCAGGGCATCGTGAAGCTGGATCCCCCCCGCATCCACGTGGATTTCCCTGTGATCCTCTATGAGGTGTGAGCCTGGGAGGTGGCAGACACAAGCACCCCCTGCCCCAGCAAGAAACCCCCAGGCTCAAGGTGTGGTTTCCATTGAGGAGCCCAGGCTGGGGCCACAACCCAGAATAAACTCCGTTGGCCCAGAACCTTCAGCTGTGAGCGGGGTCAGTCCCGTGATACTGGTTGGATGTTGGTTTCTATGTGGACAAGAGGTGGTTAGTGGCTAGCAAAGGCTAATGGCAGACTTAGCAGCCCACTCTCCCCAGCCACCCCTGCAAGAAGCATGGCAGGGCATATACCCATCAGGAATGCCTGGTTCCTGGTTCCTTGCCTGGCCTGCTTTCTTCCAAGCTTGCCTGGGGCCCAGCCCTGCTAGAGGCTACAGCACTTTACAAGCAAGGTCTGCCTTCTTGCAGCCCCTGGGCTGTGGGGGCTATACATAAATGGAAACTTCCTTTCCTTCACTTCCCTTTTATCCCCTAGTCAGAGCATTTCAGCCGTTTGCTACCTCGATTCCTCCTGTGTTGGACAGAGGCTGGGGGCAGTGCCAGCCTGATTCTTCCCACTTACTTGCCATTTGTTCCCACTCTCAGGTGGATAGACAGACAGTTGGCTGCCTGTTGACAAGAGTGGAGACTGGTGTGGGAGGCTTCTCCCTCCACCCAGGGCTAGTAGGCTGATCCCCACTACAACTAGTTGATGCCCCCTCCTCCCAGTTGAGAGGGTACAAGCTGGGGTCAGATGGGCTGTGGATGCTTGTGCCTATGGGGAGTTACTCCAACCCACCTATTCTGTCTAATCCCCCATGCCTTGCACCAACACCCCTCCACCAGTTGGGAAGGGACTGGCCACCACCTTGTGGTATGGGACTATACCCTAAGGCTGGTGCCAATAGCTATGAGTAGCCCACCACCCTTTCAGGATCAGTCAGGGGAAGTACTGGATCCCATGGGTAGGGACAGAAAGGAGGGGAAAAACCATAAAAGGAATACTTAAAATGTGAAGGTTTGTAAATAGTCTAGTCCATGATAATGTTTGGGCAGAGTCTGATTACTATATAGAGATGACTTTTTTTTTTTTTTAATTTCTTACTATGTAAGCTCTGTGCTTCTAGAGTGTGGGAAATGGCTTGGGGAAGGTGGTCCCCAGCCTAGGAAGACTGTTGTGTTATTTGTTCAATTTCAATAAAATTATTTGTAGATCCTGCACCTGAGAGTGGCATCTTCTAGGGCTGTGACACCCATTGTCTAGGCTACCACCTGGTCTCAATAGGTAGGCCTGGGCCCAGGACTTTGATGGGTCTTCCATGGCCAGCAAGGCCAAGGGTAAGCCTGAGCCCAGCTTGTAGCCATCCCAACTGTGGCCAGCAGGTGGCTGTGTGTTCACACAGAGGTCACAGCAAGCCCCCTCAGAAGGGGGGGGCGGACACTCACTTGTCTATTATGTTCAGTGTGGTGGGGACCCCTGGAATCAGAAGGTCTTGGGATGCTTCACTAGGGATTGGCCCCACCTACTTGACCTAAGGTGAGAATGTGACCCCAGGTGGTTCTGTAATATCTGTCTTAGCCCCTGCAGTGCCAGTGGACCCCAAGTGAGTTCACGGTCTAAGGCCCATGGACCTCAAAGGCCCAACCGTAATGGATAGCAGCCAGATAGGTGTCACCAGGTCCTTGGCCTACTGCCAGGCTCTGCAGCCCAACTTACCTGCCTCCTCTGAGTCTTGCCTGTGGATACCACAGGAGAGTGAGCTCAGAGCTTCTGTTCCAGCAAACAAGGCTCAGCGTGCCTCCCTCCCCCGACATACTCCCTCTGCTCTCTGCTGCCCCTGCCTTCTCACCCCCATGGTGTCCCCTGTGGACATTCTGCCTGCACTTCTTGGGGCCTGCTATGAGGCAGATTCTCTGCCTTTGGCCATCAGCCCAATTCCTAGTTAGGGAGTGGGGAGTTCAGAGACAGGCTTCTGAGTCTAGAAGTTGGCCTGCCAGTCTTTCCAAGGCTTGAACTTGTTAAGTCCAGAGCAGGATCACCCTGTTCAGCCTGGACTTGAAGTTCTGTGGGGTACCTCCCCATCCCCCCCATGAGATGCCAGGAATAAGGCCCCATCATCTTCCACTGTCCCTCCTACTGGTTATTCAAGGCCCAGGACTCTCCCATACCAGATGGCATCCTATCACACCACCACTGTCCCAGCCTAGGGGAACTCCCTGTGTTGGGCTTGCCCAGCTGACCCCAAAGCTGGAAACAATGGGGGTCAGGGCAGTACTTCCTCACTCCCTCCCGCTGGGTTGTGCTCACTTCCTTCCTGCTGGCTGCCGGAGGAAGTGTCCCTGCCCTGGGACAGTCTGGCCTGGCCTTTGTTTCCCCAGGAGTCCCCACCCTTGGGGCTTCTAAAGCCTCTGGCCCTTGTGAAGCAAGCATAATGGTACAGGGACACTACACCTTCCCCTGCCCTGTCCTGGACTCCTTGGTCCTCAGGGCCAGACTCCAGGGTATGCACCCATCTTCCCCAGTCCACCACACAGCCTTCTGTTAGGAGAGAGGCCCCTAGGCATTGGGGAGGTGGGTCAGTGGGGTTTTGAGGGTAGGCAGATTTGTTCGCACCTCTACAGAGGTCTGCTGGAACTCTGCTACAATCTTCCCCGGGGCCAGTCAAGTTATTAGCACTCCCTCCCACAGGAACACACCCCTTTCCTCACCCATGTTGTAAGGAGCCCCCTACCCTGTGCAGTGGACTCAGTGAAATCCACCCAGGAATGTCCTCCAGCAGGAGAGCATTCTGCAGAACCCTTTCAGCCCCTGTTTCACCTCCCCCCATCCCACAGTCACGCTTATCAACACGTTGTCCTCTCTGTCACATGGGATGCTTCTCTCAGTGGAAAAAAAATTGATTCAGTTCCTGAAAGTCCCCCTAACCCTCCCCCCCAGGGGCTGGTTCCCCTCTTTGGCACCTGCTGTGGGAGACCAACAGCTGAACCCCCCCAAGTAGTTTGACTTTCCAAAGCACTGGCACCTGGGCCCCTCTCAGACCCTACTATTATCCAGGATGGGCCCCAACCCCAAGGGAAGGTTGGGACAAAGACGTTCTCCAGTGTTATGGAAGCTGTAGGCGTGGGGGGAGACCGGCATCTGAGCCGGGGCCGGTAGCCTTCCTGTCACCTGGCGCAGCTGGTGGGGCCAGATCTTACTGGGAGGTAGGGGGGAAGGGTAAGAAGGCAGCCAGCCAGCAGGGCATACCGGAGGGAAACAAGGTCAAGGCCTTCTCCTCCCCGCCCCCCCTCTCCTGTTCCTGGCCCTTTCCTCTCTGAGGGGCAGCAGGAAGTGAGGAGAAAGGGCTGGGATGGGAGGCGGGAGCGGGTGGGAGGGAATGGGGTTTATCAAGTCCTCCGCGGGCTGCCCCACGGGCAGCAGCTGGCGCAAGTAGCCTGGCTGAAGAGGCTCACCCCAGGAAGGAGGGAGGCCGCCGACCTACAACTAGGCCGACGGACTCCCACACAGGTGAGCCCAGCGCAGACGGCTGGTCTGCACCCCCATAGCAGAGCTTGCAGCAGCGCACCCTCCCTCTCCTTCCAGGCGCCCGAGCGGGGAAGGGGCTGGCGGTGCAGAGGCGGGCCCTTTGGGGAGCTGAGTCCCGCACCAGGGAGTGGATCTAGGAAGAGCGAGGAGGTCTTGCACTGGGCTCGCCCGGATCTAGCTCCAAGCCTGCTCTCCACCAGGAGGGGCTTGCGGGACGAAAGGGCTCAAGATAAGGGATGGAGGCCCCGGGGAGCTCCTCCTTCTGACTTTCTCCTAGGTTCTGCCAGAAACTTCTGAAAGGGTGGTGGCCTCCTTGGAGCCGAGAGGGATCCCTGGGGGCTCCCAAAGGCCCCTCGGAGGCTGGGCAGAAGACAGGACCCCAGGGATTGGCCCGCCCCTGATGCAGGTCGGGGAAAGGGGGGCGCCCAACCCCCCAGGCTCCGCTGAGCTTCCCTGCCTTCTGCCCCGCGGCCGAAGCCGCGACCCACAGCCTGAGTTGCCAGGACAACCACTGCCCGGGCCGAGTCCGGGGAGGGCTAAGAGGCGGTGCTTGGCCCCTTCCCCCTAGACGGGCAGGGGCGGGGCTTCCCTTCAGACCGCGGACCAGAGGAGTGGAACCCAGATTCGTAGGCGGAGGTGGATTACTGTCCGGGGAGGCCTGGGATCGGCTCAGGTCAAAGTCCCTTTTTCCACACAAAGGGACCCCTAGACTAGAGCCTACATTCGGGGGTGAGAGCCAGATCCAAGGCCTTGGAGTCCCACAGCACCTCCTTACGGCCAAGCGGAGGAAGGCCCACCTCCTTTAGTCCCTCCCCGCCCCCACTGCCCGGTAGCTCAAGCTGTCCCTTTAAGAGGCTGGCGGCGCCGCGGAGCGAGGCGGACTGTACCACCGGCCTCGGGCCGTGGGGGGAAGGTCTCAGGCTGATTGGCGCTAGCCGCTGAGACTCCAGCAGAAAGCCCTATTCGGAGGGGCCTCAGGGCTCCAGATGGGTGGCCACGTTCCTCCGCAGAGGACCTGGGGATCCTCGAGCTCGAAACGCTGCACTGGCCGCGAGAAAGGCGGGCACACCTTCCCGTCCCGGCCGCAATTCCTGCCCCGCGTCCACCTACGCTCAGGATTCTTAAAGGGCCCGCGGGCCTGGGGGCGGAGCCAGCAGAGGCGCCGAGCCGGGGCAGTGCCTGGGTGAACGGCCGGAGCGGGCTGGGCTGGGCCCGGGATGGCGGTGGCCCTGGCGCGGGTCCGGGTGGCGCCCCGCGCGAGGTGAGGGCGGCGGTGCAGGCTTGGTGGCTCTCTCCTTGGGGCTGGGCTCTGAATCCCCAGAGGTGCTCCAGAGAGGCGGCCCAGCAACCCCACCCCCACCCGGCTCGGGCCCCACGTGCGGGGCGGGGGCGGGGTCCCGCACAAAGGCCAGGAGGAGTGCTTTCTATCCCGGACCGGCCGGCTGGGGGGGCGGGCGCGCGCATTCCCGATGGCGGTGGAGGGAAGGGCTGGTCTGCCGGCGCCGCTGTGGGAGGTCCGCTGCCTCTTTGTCCTCGCTAGGGACACCAAACCTGGGAGAGTGTCAGCGCGCAAGACAAAGTCCTGACAGCCTCCCTCTTCTGCCGCGCTAGTGTTACACAGATGCTAGCCCCACGGCTGTGTTCCTTCTAGCTTCTTAGCCTCTTCATGAGCTGTGTCCTGCCTTACCCAAATGCTCTATCGTTTCTCTGGATCAAGGGTTCTTCAAGGGGTACAGCGTGGGCCTCTGATCCAAGGCTGTCTGAAACCATGTACTGGATGGTAGGCAGGCATGTATGTGGCTCTGGCAATGGGTACATAGCCCAATTTATCCAATTCTCAGAGGGTCACAGACCTAACAGAGGTTAGGTTAACTGCTCCAGGAAGGACCCTATGCTCCTGGCAGTACTACCCCAGTGTGTCTTGCCTGCCCTTCAGTGGCCTGTGGTCTCTCAAACCTATCACAGCCATGTGTATTCTGAATAGCCATGGGTACTGTGCCCCACACGGCATGGGCTCTGGGAGCATAGATGGGCTTGAGGTGGGCAACTCCAGGATTCTCTAGATTGACTTGTTCTTTCCCACCCTTCTTCTAGTTCCTGAGCTGGTGCCAGGCAGGTGACACTTCCTGCAACCCCCAGCATGTGGGCAGGCCCAGGCCCCACTGCTGTACTGGCCCTGGTGCTGGCGGTGGCATGGGCCATGGAGCTCAAGCCCACAGCACCACCCATCTTCACGGGCCGGCCCTTTGTGGTAGCATGGGATGTGCCCACACAGGACTGTGGCCCACGCCTCAAGGTGCCACTGGACCTGACTGCCTTTGATGTGCAGGCCTCGCCTAATGAGGGTTTTGTGAACCAGAATATCACCATCTTCTACCGCGACCGTCTAGGCCTGTATCCACGCTTTGATTCAGCTGGGAGGTCTGTGCATGGTGGTGTGCCACAGAATGGCAGTCTCTGGGCGCACCTGAAGATGCTGAAGAGACGTGTAGAGCACTACATTCGGACACAGGAGCCTGCGGGACTGGCAGTCATTGACTGGGAGGACTGGCGGCCTGTGTGGGTGCGTAACTGGCAAGACAAGGATGTGTACCGCCGGTCATCACGCCAGCTGGTAGCCAGTCGCCACCCTGACTGGCCATCAGACCGAGTAGTCAAGCAGGCACAATATGAGTTTGAGTTCGCTGCACGGCAGTTCATGCTGGAGACACTACGCTATGTCAAAGCAGTTCGCCCCCAGCACCTCTGGGGCTTCTACCTCTTTCCCGACTGCTACAATCATGATTATGTGCAGAACTGGGAGAGCTATACAGGCCGCTGCCCTGATGTTGAGGTGGCCCGCAATGACCAGCTGGCCTGGCTGTGGGCAGAGAGCACAGCCCTCTTCCCCTCTGTCTACCTGGACGAGACGCTCGCTTCCTCTGCCCATGGCCGCAACTTTGTCAGCTTCCGTGTTCAAGAGGCCCTTCGCGTGGCTCACACCCACCATGCCAATCATGCACTCCCAGTCTATGTCTTCACCCGGCCCACCTACAGCCGCAGGCTCACTGGGCTTAGTGAGGTATGTGCCTCCCAGGGCCCTTCCTTTGTCCTTCTGTGAGGAACCACTGCACGTTCACATTATCAGGGGCCTACAGCCTCATAGTATTGGGTACACCACATCCCCTCAAATCATTCTCTCTGTAACCTTGTGAAAGGGTGACATGATTACCCCCATTTTGTAGATAAGAAAATTGAGGCATAGAGATGCTGAAAAATTTGCTCAAAGTTTCCCAGAAAATCCAGGCAGAGCAGAGATTTGGTCCCTGTATTCTGACTTTGAAATCCATCCTGACAGATACATGCCCTAGACTCAAGTATGCCGTTGGCTTGGAAAACTGAGGCCCAAAGTGGCAGGGGAAATGGTCTTAAACATTTAAGAAGAAGGTGAAACAGATAGATCCTCTATCTGGAGATGAAAAGCAAGGGGGATCGGGCTGGGAGGTCAGCAGGTTGGAACAGACTTGGGCCTGCCAGCCCTGCCTGTTCTTCTCTCCCTGAGGTCTCAGTCTTCCCCTTTGACCATCCCTTCCCACACAGATGGACCTCATCTCTACCATTGGTGAGAGCGCAGCCCTGGGTGCAGCTGGTGTCATCCTCTGGGGCGACGCAGGGTATACCACAAGCACGGTAAGTGAGACCCACCCGACCTGCTAGAACTGAGTCTACAGGGACAGGCAGAGAATTTGGGCCTTTGGCTACCAGCGTTGGGTGGGCAAACCTGGTCTGGCCCCTTTGTCTCTCACCCGAGGTGTCCCTAGTTCCAAGAGAGAAGAAGGGCACCCCAGCCCTGCTCCCAGGAAAGAGGAAATGCTGTCCTGAATAGCTGTTGAGTTCCACCCTTCCCCATCTGCCCAGCTGGGCTCTGGTCTCTGCCCCCACCCCCTTCTCAACAGGACCAGAGACTGTGAGAGTTTTCTTGAGTGTATAAATATATGCACTGTTACAAAGGTACAGCTACCACAGTGGAGACACAAAGTTTCCAAACGGGCCTGTGGGCTGAAGCAGCTGACCCTGACCTGTGATCCCTGGCTTCTGTCCCCAGGAGACCTGCCAGTATCTCAAGGATTACCTGACACGACTGCTGGTCCCCTACATGGTCAATGTATCCTGGGCCACCCAGTATTGCAGCTGGGCCCAGTGCCATGGCCATGGGCGCTGCGTGCGCCGCAACCCCAACACCAATACCTTCCTGCACCTCAGCGCCAACAGCTTCCGCCTAGTGCCTGGACACGCACCTGGTGAGCCCCAGCTGCGACCTGTCGGGGAGCTCAGCTGGGCTGACCTTGATCACCTGCAGACACACTTTCGCTGCCAGTGCTACTTGGGCTGGGGTGGCGAGCAATGCCAGTGGGACCGTAGGCGTGCAGCTGGAGGCGCCAGCGGGGCCTGGGCTGGATCCCACCTCGCCAGCCTGCTGGCTTCAACAGCCCTGGCCTTCATCTGTACCTTGTAGGGGTCTCTTGCCTGGCTGCCTAGCAAGCTGGCGTCTGTCACAAGGGCTCTCCTGGGCATGTAAGAGCCCATAAGGGGTGGACAAACTCAAGTCCACAAGGGGCAGAGCCCCTGGGTTGCCCAGCAGGACATCTATATCAACTCTCACCCCCCTGTTCTAAGGGGGAGGGGAAGTCCCCTGGGAGGTCCCTTCTCTCCTTGCCAGAGGGGAAGGAAGATACAGCTGGGCAGGGGAGGGCCTGACCCTACTCCCCTGCCCCTGGATAGTTTATTATTATTATTTTGGGGTCTCTTTTGTAAATTAAATATAAAACAACTGCTTCTGTGCTTGGACTTTCTGCATCTTGGCCAGGGCATGCGAGAGAGATTCCAGGATCTTCCATGAGGTTTGAGTTCAGCTCTGTCTCTGTGAAACCCTCTGCTAGGGACTTCCCATCTGTAAGATGTGTTCACGGGGCCCTGCCACTGGGAGTGGAGGGATCCACATGCCATCCTAACACCAAGGACCTTGCTTTCTCCGTATTGATTAGAAGAGAGTTGGCCCCAACCTGGCATGAGGGACGGTGCTCATGTGCTTCTACGACTTGCCTCTGTACCTTCAGCTGGGCCAGTACCAGCCTTCTTGCCTCACCAACCAGGGAGCAAGGGGGAAGTGGATGTTTGACCTTCTCTGCTCCCTGTTCCAAAGGGCAGTAGACTCCATCCATGTACACCTCCCCTCATCAGGGTCACAGCTCTCCCTTCAGTCTGGTGGTGGGGAGGTGGGCAGGGGATTGGGATCTGAATCCTGAGGTTCAGTCCTTGTCACTCTGTAGAGATGCATGATGAGGCTGGGGGATGCATTTTGGGAGCAGGGACATCCTCAAAGATCAGCTTTGTCCTGGCCATGGGGAGAACACGGCTAGTCCCTGGCTGTCCCAGAGGACAGAAGGAGCAGCTGGAGTAGTCAGACCACTGCCTCTGATGGGAGTTAACTCAGCCCCTTCCTGTGGCCACCAGACCCACACCCTGGGTGCCCCGGACAGTGATGACTCAGCCACACAGCCCTGCCTTCAGGAAACTCTGCCTCTGGGGAGACCAACTCAAGAAACAATTGAATGATGAGGGGAGATGTCCTGGAGGAGGTGCTTTCTACATTGAGTTTTGAAAGGTGAGGGGGCAGCTTGATGCTCAGGAACAAAGCCTGGGCAGAGGCCGGAGGAAGCTGGAACACGGCTGGTACATGGAGTTTGGGGCTGGGGTGTGGTTTGGGGGCTGCTGCAGGCAGAGGCAGGAGGGGCAGTCCTAGAGTGGCACCAGGCGTGTCTTTGCCTGATGGTGGTGACTGTTTCACCCGTTCAGTAAACACACTGAGCACACACACGTGCCAGTGCTGGGCTGGGTGCTGGGGAACCACACCAACAAAGATCCCTGTCCTTGTGGGGATGACAAAAGTTGAGGGAGATGAAGTTGAGAGTACACTAGATGCACAGACCAAGTCAGATGCCAGATGGAGGCGAGGGGATGGTGTGTTTAGGGAAGCAGAGCCTGGAGAAACAAGCCCAGCCAAAGTGATGTCAACTCAGGTTGCAGAGAGATCCCTCCTTGGTCCCTCTGGCTGATGATAGCAAAGAATGGAGAAGAGAGTGAAGTGGCAGCACCTGGAAGGTGATGTAGTAAATTCACACAGTGGGGGAAGAGATGGACTTAGAAGTGGAGGGGCCGTAGTTTCTCACGGCCATGATGGGCAGAGGCCAGGCTGGAGAGAAGATTCAGTGTTGGCCAACAAGGCCATGAGGTGGTGGAGCAGAGAGGGGAGCAAGGAAGGACTTGTGACCTGTCTCCCCCACACCTGTGACTTCTCACACCTGTGACCTCCCCACACAGATGTGACCCATGCACACCTGTGAGCTACCCCACCCACACCTGTAACCTCCCAACACATGAGTGATCCAGATCCACACAGCTGTGACCTTTCCCACGTAGCTAAGACCCCTATACACCTGAACCCCACTATGTGCAAAGCTGTGCTCTCCCCATGTGTGACCCCATACAGATGTTACTTTCTCCAAACATCTGTAACTCCTCCACAACTGTGACCTCTCTTGCACAGCTGTGACCTGTACCCACCTAGCTGTGACCCCTCCATACAAACCTATGTCCACCTCACACTACTTTCCCCAGGACCCTAGGGAATGTGCCAGAACTATTGTGTGGGTTCTGAAGGTGGGTAGGGAGTAGCGGGGTGAGGTTGTGGGGAGTGAGGTGGCTGAGATACCTGAGGCATGCACAGCCAGAGAGCAGGCAGGGCTGGGCTGTCAAGCTGGACAGACCCCCAGGCATATACACACACTATTCATGCCAGTCCAGCCAGACCCGCCCTGCAGGAGCAGGCCTGCGGGCCGGGCCCCTGTGGGGGGGTCCTGCAGGCACCCTCAGCTTCCTGCTGTTCCACCATTAGCGCTTCTCCCTTGCACCGAGGCAGCTGGAGAATAGGTTTCTCAGGGCACCAAGAGGTAGCACGGATCCTCAGTGTCCTCCTTTTCCCTCAGCCCTTGAGAGTTGTACCAGGCTGTCTGGGCCTATGTGGGCATTACTCTGGGACCCGGCTTCCTGAACAGGATCAGCAGCCATCGCCTCTGTGCCTCAATCCTGTGCAAGGGTCTTGTGCTGATGTGCCCACAGTCCCCAGCACCCTGGGCCCTCCTTTCCCTCAGCCCTGCCAGCTTCATCCCAGCCAGCCTGGAGGACCAAGCCCAGGATGGTAGTGAACCGTGAGTGCTGTTGCTCCAGTGGCTACTGTGCTCGGGATTCAGTAGCTCAGGCTCAGACTTGGCTGCAGACCCGGGCAGCACTTCACCCTGGGCAGGGACATGTTTCCTTCACCCCACCCTGGTAGGCAAGCCTGGGCCTGAGCACCAAGCAGGTCTCAATAACCAGCTTCTCAAGAGAAAAGGTCTGGGTACTAAAAGAGAAAAAGGAAAAAAAATAACCAGCTCCTGAATCAGTGAACAAGTAAAGCCACAAATGAATGAACAAGCATATGGTCACTGACAGACCCGTGCTCATACCCGCGGTCACACAGTCATGGGGTCTCATACACACCCAGTCCCAGGCACTGGGTCCCGCGCTCACACATACTCACCACTGGAATTTGTGCAGAGGCCCAGATGCCCACTAACTGGGGCTTCACAAAGACACAATCGCTGACCCAGCACATATACGAAGAGTGATGACATAACCCCGACTTCATGAATACAGAGCCTTTCAGAAGCAGGTCCCTAAAGCAGGGATGACTTCCCCACTAAGGCACAGGGCCTAGGGCCACAATACTTCTAGGGGCTCATAAAAATGTTTGAATTTTTTTAATCAGAAGAAAAAATATAAATATATTAATAATATGTAATAGTGAACCCAGCCTGGATTATATTCTTTCTTTTTTTCTTTTTGAGACAGAGTCTCACTCTGTTGCCCTGGCTAGAGTGCCGTGGCTTCAGCCTAGCTCACAGCAACCTCAAACTCTTGGCTCAAGCGATCCTTCTGCCTCAGCCTCCCGAGTGGCTGGGACTACAGGCATGCACCACCATGCCTGGCTAATTTTTTATATATATATATTTTTAGTTGTTCAGCTAATTTCTTTCTATTTTTTTAGTAGAGGTGTCTTGCTCTTGCTCAGGCTGGTCTCAAACTCCTGACCTCGAGCGATCCTCCCGCCTCGGCCTCCTAGAGTGCTAGGATTACAGGCGTGAGCCACCACGCCCGGCCTGGATTATATTCATCTTTATACCAACATAGTCGTAAAATATATTTTAAGATTTCTCGGCTGGGCGGGTGGCTTACACCTATAATCCTAGCAGGAGGCTGAAGCGTGAGGATCACTTGAGGCCAGGAGTTCAAGACCAGCCTAAGCAAGAGCAAGACCCCATCTCTACAAAAACTAGAAAAATTAGCAGGGCGTGGTGGCATGCTTCTGTAGTCCCAGCTACTCAGCAAGCTGAGGCGTGAGGATCACTTTAGCCTAGGAATTGGAGGTGCCAGTGAGCTGTGGATGCTACTGCATTCTAGCCTGAGGGACAGAGTGAGACTCTGTCTCAAAAAAAAAAAAAAAAATGTCCTTTAAGGAGGAAGGGGTCCCCAAGGGCAAAAGTACCTAGGGCCCACCAATGTCATAATGCGGTCATGTGAGGAAAGGACACTCCCTGAGTACGCAGTCCTGAGGCATCCCAGACTCCAGTACCATAAACAGGCTGTCCAGCTGGGTCTGCCACCGCCCACCCCCTCCAGCCCCAGTAAAGCCACAAAGCCCTGCCCTAGTGCTGAGTGGGAGGGGCCGCTGCTGGCCCAGCCTTCCCACCCACCAACGTCCCTTTGCTAGAGATTCAGAGGTAGCCTTGCTGCCTGGCCTGGCCTGGCCTCCCAATCCAGGGCCCGCCCCTTGGCCCGCCCTTCGGCTGGGTGGGGTGACCCCCTACAAAAGCTCAGAGTTTCCAGCAGCCGCTTCCTCCGACAATCTCTGGCGTGGCTGGGGTCACAGTTGAGGAACGGAATCCGGCCAGGCCCTGCCTAGGCCCCTACCCTGGGGTCAGGAAACCCAGAGGATCAGGCCCTTCAGCCCTGAGGTCAGCAGGGGCAAGCGGGTAGACTGTCGGGTGTACAGGAGGGCTGGGCTGACCTGTCCTTAGTCACTGAGCATCCCTCCCTCCAATGGCTGGCCAGGATTTCTGGTGGAAGAGACAGGAAAGGCTCCCCCGTCATTTAGGTCAGCCTGTGGGCTGAGGGCCTGGCTCTCAGCCACTCTTCCCAGAACAGACGTCATGGCTTCAGTGGCCCTTGGGGAAGAGGGGTGGGCAAATTTAGGCCAGGGCAAGGCTTGTGGGAAGCAGACGGCAGAGGCCAGGCCGCTCAGATATACCCTCCAGTGGCCGTGATTCCCTCCATGTGTCTCCTCTGTCCATTGCATCCCCCCACCCACCCCAGGTCAATATTTAACTGAAACCAGAGCAGGGATGATTAATGAGCAAGGATCAGAAAGTTCATGGCCTGCTCTCAGCTCTGCCTCCCTGGCCAGGTTTCCCTAGACCGGCTCCATACCATGGCAGCCCAGCTGCTTTGCATCTGCGCCCTCTTCCTGACATCACTTGTCATGGCCCAAGGCTCCAGGGGGCCCGTGGTACTCAACCAGCCCTTCACCACCGTCTGGAACGCAAACACCCAGTGGTGCCTGGAGAAGCATGGTGTGGATGTGGACGTCAGTGTCTTCGATGTACTAGTCAACCCTGGGCAGACCTTCCATGGCCCTGATGTGACACTTTTCTACAGCTCCCAGCTGGGCACCTACCCCTACTACA